GGTGGTGTGTGTGAGCAGAGTATATTGTGTGTGTATTTGTGTTGTGTACGGCGCACAAGCCAGTAGTGTGCGCAGTGCATTAGACCGTTGTGTGAAATGGGGGGGGTGTGTGTGTAAGTGTGTGGTCTGAGGGAGAAATAGTGGTGTAACATTTAAGTGATGTGTGCGCAAAGCAAGTATGATGCGTGAGCGCGTGTGTGTGCGTTGGTGTATAATTGTAGCGGACACGCCAGTGTGGTGGTGGATGTGCGTGTGTGTGATAAGGAGATAGTTGTGTGATAGTGTGTGTGTGTGAATGTGATGTGTAGTGTGTAAATGTGTCGTGCATGTGAGTATGTGTGTGTGCTGCGCAGCGTGCGTAGTGTAGTGTAAACAGTATTGGTGGAAGTGAGGGGTGCGTGTGAGTGTGTGTGTGCGGGCAGTGAAGTGTGTGTAGGAGTATGCTTGTAAACAGCAAGTGATGCTGTGGTGTGCATAAAGCATGTGTGTGTAGAGTAAATTTTGCGTAGTTGTGAGTCGTGTGTGTATTTGTGTGTAGTTGGTGGGGTCACACATCGATGGAAACATTTAGCACCTTAACTGTACAGCTAAACGCTGAGTGGCGAACCACAGATAAACAGCAGTGAAACATATGCTGGTGCCAAGACAATGAAAACAAACGACACGACGAAATATCTCGCAGCTGCACATATCGCTGTAGACCGATAGCTGAAGTACCCTAACTCTCAAGCTTACATTTCAATAGCAAAAGTCGTTGAGGTATTAGCGACACGAAATCATTAGTGAAAAGCGTAGGAGAACTTAGCGGAGGCTTCGTGAAAGCCACTCTAGGAAGTAAATAAGGATATAACCCGCTATAATTCAAACGGCCCCAATCTTTAACCGACAAATTCAACTAACATGTATAATATAGCGAGAGTTTCAGTGAAGACGGCCGCCAATAACTGTTCACATGCAGTCTCTCTCTCGCCTGGCTCCGCATCACCCGCCGACCGCTATGCCGCCATATCCCTCGCTCGTTGGCTACCAGGTCTCCCTGCTCTCTGCTACGCCACCACCCATGTCATACGCCCATACCAACTGTGGCTGCCGCAATCCACCCTTAAACAACAGGAGTCCCCCGTATGCACTCCTAGCGCGCCTTGGCTCGCATTACCACCCCAATTTGGTTCCCATGCGCCACTCATGAGTTCACACAATCGGTGATCCCCGACGCCCATCAGCTAATTATTGCATTATAACCGTGGCATTCCAAGTTATTGGTATACTTTCGATGAACTAAAGAATAATAAACTTACCCTTTATTTTCCGCAAAAAATTGAAATTCACCAAGGCCGTCCGTCCAACCCCGACTAGCCGTGGCATATCTGTCAGACCTGGCGAAATGATGACTGTGATGGGAGCGGGATCTTATCGCTTCCACCTCGCCATCTTTCAGGCCATTTCGGGCAGGCGAATATATGTAACCTGGTGCTGTGGTCATGTAAACAGTTCGCATCAATCGAGAGACACGCGTCGCTGATGGGAATCACACAACAGGGAATAAACAGGGAGGACACGGTGTATAGGATCAAATTTGATATCATTCACTTAATATTCGGCGCGTCGCGTCGGGATACACCACAACATGCATGGTACAAAAAGTAACCAGATAAAGATAACCGAAGACTAACGGCCAATCGAACAACAAAAAATGCACGCAGGAGTGGGTTAATACCATGTGTTACGCCCATAGGGAACGCATAATCTGCAAGCAGCTATTTCAGCTAACGAGTAGGACGTCAAGCTCGTTGACGGTATGAATCTCCAGGTTAAGAGGTGTTAAGCACATGAATGCCTCGGTTTACATCCTTTCGGGCGGGGAACGACGTATCGTGCGTGGAAGGCGACGGGGCGGGTGTGTTGCGTGTGTATGTGTGCAAAGCGTAGTGTGATGTGTGCGTGTGAGTGTGTGTGATAGATATATAATGTGTCGTCGTGTGTGTGCTAGTGTGTGTGTGTGTGTAGTGGTAGTGTGGTGTGAGCGAGTCGTGAGTATTGTGTGGTGGTGTGCGACGCGTGCGTGTGTGATGATAATAAAATAGGTGAGTGGGGTGCGGGTGTAGAGCGTCAGTGTGTGTGCGTGTAGCCGTGTAGTGATGTGTGGCGTACCGTGTTGTAAGTGTAGGATGTAATGTGTACCCTGTGTGTGTGTGTGCATGCAATAGTGTGTGTAGCGAGTATTGATTGTGGGCGTCGGGTGTGTGTGTGTGTACTTTGTGTGTGGTGCGTACGTGTGTGTGTGTGTGCGTGTGGTATCCTGGGTCGAGTGGTTGGTGTGTGATGTGTGGTGTGTGGTCGTGTGTGGTGTGTGAAGGGGGAAGTAAAGTGTGTTGTGTTGTGCGTGTGTGTGTGTGTTGTGTGTTGGTGTGTTGTATGAGGACTGTGTGCATGCTGAGTGTGTGTGTGGCTGTGTGCGCGGAGAGTAGCCGTTAACCACTACGGGGGCGCCAGGTTGCGTCGTGTCGCGCGATAAAGTAATGGTAAGTGGGGTGGAAGAGTCAAAGGGTAGTGCGTGTGTGTGTAGTGTAAGCGTCCGTGCGTAGTAGTGTGTGTGCCGGTGTGTGTGTTAGATGTGTGTAGGAGTATAGTGACGTGAGTGTGTGTGTGGCATAGCAATGTAGGTGCTGGTAGGCACAGTATATTGTGCGTCGTGTGTGTGTGTACTATTGGGTCGTGTGTGGTCAGTGTGTGTCTGTTGGCCCGTGGTGACGTCGTGGTAGTGTTGTGATAAAGTGTGGTGTGTGTGTGTGTGTGTGCCGTATGCGCGTGTGTGCGTGGCGTAGATAGTGTGTGGGGGGGGCAGGGGTGCAGTGATTGATGTGCGTGTGATGTGGATGGTGAATGTGTGTTTTATATATGTGATGGGTCGCGAATGCGATGCGTGCTTGCGCGCGCAGATCTTCCGTTGTGCTAGGATTAAATGGGAGCTTAAAGCTTAAGTAATGCTAAAGTTTATATATGTATTAGTGTAATAATAAAGTTTGTTAAACTTGG